ACACACAGACACAAACACAAACACACGCAAACACGGAGACACACAGACACACACGCGCACCAACACACAAACACACACGCACCACACACACACACTTAGACTCTCATACACACAACACAAACACAAGCACAAACACAAACACACAAGCACGCAAACTCACAAGCACACAAACACACGACCACAAACACAAAAACAAACACACACGCAAACACGCACACATACAAACACAAACACACATACACACACACACAAAGTCACAACCACAACGACCACCACGACCACAACCACAATCACGACCACAACGACGCCACGACCACAACCCCAACCACAACCCCACACCCACACACACACACACACACGCACACACACACACACACTCTCACACAAACGCAAACGCGTCCAGCGAAACGTGCGGGTTTGGATTCGTTTCAGTGACATGCGCTTTCGGGGCTAAATGGACGCCCAAAAGGCGGATTCTATCCGATGCGTTCCGCTGGCTACCCTCCAAACTAAGGAGCTCCATAGGAGATTCCTCCTAAGGTATTTTCGTAGGTTACACTCCCACCTATTTCAGGGGCCTAGATTGCTCAAGATCTGGGCTCCGTGTTCTGCCGCGAAAGCAAGCGAGCCACTGAGGGACAGGCGATAGCCAAGCGAGCCTTCTCACCGCCAGACAGGTTTGCCACTTTGACTTGCATGCCTCAGCGAGCTTCCGGGGAAACGAATGATACCATGGATTCGAAGAGGCATGCGCAACAATCAAGCTTCCCGAGAAAGGAATCTCTGGACTCCTGAATCTCAAATGGTTGTGAATCTGCGGTCGACAATACAAGGGTCGATGGGGCGCTTTTTAGATTCCACAGTGAGAACAGGAAGGTCACGTAAGGTCCCGTGCGGTCACCGCGAAAGCGGAACTTCTTCATGATCTCCTGCACGAGCTGACCCTGTGGGTGGTCTTTTTTGGGGGGCCTCCAACAATGGTGGCGTTCCCTTTTTTTGCCCAAAAACACCAACACGCAAACAGGGTACCCTCAAAATAGGCACATGGTCCTGGATGCCAGGTTCTTCCAAAGGGAAGCGCTCAAAACCATCTCGGACGCTCAGTCGGTTTAATGTTTAAGTCACTCGGCCGGTTTGGACTCCAAATCGGGTGAAGCGGACAAGACAATCCATGTAGGCAATATATATATATACCCACAGTTGACTCATTTGGAGGGTAAATGTGGGTGAATATTGCATAGTTACATGGAGTGTTTGGGAACAGGGCTTTGCGAGGGAAACAAGATGACACCAGCCAAGGTCCAACTACACATTCACCAAACCTGACTCGGGTGCCGACAGATCCTCGATTCCGGATCCAGAGCGATGGTCATCGCTTCGCCCGCTCCTTGAGCTTTTCATCCACCATCTGGATCTCATTGGCTTCCTGTGCGAGATCCGGCTGCAAAGGCTCATCACCTGAGTCATAATCAAAACCCGGTATTAAAATGGTCGACCCAGAATCATGTGAAGAATTAAGAAGGCGGCCGCAGCTATGTCTGGTTGACCTTGTCCCTTACTAACCTTCACTTACCCGGGTTTTGATTGTGACTCACCTGAAGCCTAAGCCTCTCTGGAATTGGGCACACCCGGATGCAAACAAACAAACTTGAGTTAGGAAGCTGAAACTCAGAAACGTAGCAAGATGAACCCGTGGAAAAGCACTGAACCGTGTATCTCAACACTCCGACCTCAGCGTCTTCTTAGAAACGGCTGATTTGCGAGTCCTTCACCACCTCCCAGCCGGTTTTGTCAGCCGGCAGCAGGTCTGCCTCAGTTGACTGTTCCGAACATGGAGATGTGCTCTTGCAGGGTGCTTTTCCTGGCTGCCTGAATGGGAAACCAAAAGGACAACCCACCATTTTGCGGATTCCCACCCTCTCTTGACATGCTGACACTCGCATGACCTTGCTTTCTTCCCGTACGGGTTTCCGATAGCAAGCTCATCAGGATCGACTGCTCGCGGGCTCAGAGAGGTGCTTGGTGCTGCGCGAAGAAGCCTCCGGGCAGAATTGTCCCCCCCGTCCCCACCTTCCCCCCTGTCCCCCCCCCCTCGCCCCCTCCCCCCTGTCCCCCCTGTCCCCCCGCCTCTCTGACCCCCCCCCTCATGCCCCGATGGACAGCGTCCATGGCCCAGGCCTGTCATGTCGACGTCCGCTGGACGCACCGTCCCACCGTCGCGGGGCATCTCCTGAATCTGAGACGTTGAAATGGGTCTTTGTGTTGTTGTTTTTGTTTACCCTTGTTTTGGCTTGTTTTCTTTTTGTTTTCTTTTCTTTCCGGAGTTGGTACCCTCTTGGGGTTGGTTTTAAAGGGACACCAAGAGGACCGAAGCCATTTTAGTGGGTCCCCGAAGACACACCCTGCCATAACCGCGCATCGGCGAGCTCCTGACCCATAAGGATCCGCAGAAGGGTCGACCTTCAGCCGAGCTTCTAGCGCCTAGAGCAGCCTAAAGCAC